TATTTTTGTTTTGTTTTTCTAGATTGTTGCTCCTGTTCGGAAATTTATTTGTTGCTTGCTCTGCTTGTTCCTTGTTCTATTTAATTAACCTCAGTACGTTCTCCTGTTGAGGAAAACCTTTACCTTCATGGCCATTAACCTGTTAACGTCCGCTAGCAACTGCCATTTAATTTCTTCCATTTCCTGCACTTTCTTGATTATTCTTTCCATTTGTTGTTGAAAGCAATAATGGTCAATATGTCCTTGTTTCAGTACATTGACTTTATCTCCTTAATTGTCAATCTTCCTTGCAGAGTTGTCAATATGTTCGCCCGTCCTACTTAGGTTCTCTCACTACTCATTTCTCTCTCGTTGCTGTTCGTCTAACAAATTCCATCATTGCAGGCGAGGAGTCACACTAATGTGGCTGAAGTATGTTGACCAGACCACACACTAGAAGGTGAAAGGACGACGACACTTCGGTCCGTCCTGGACCATTCTCAAGTCGATTGTGTCCAGGATTGTGGAGAATGGTCCAGGACGGACCGAAACGTCGTCGTCCTTTCACTTTCTAGTGTGTGGTCTGGTCAACAAATGCCATAATTTACTAGTTCTTTCATCATTGTTATAATTCCTTCCCTCCCCCTCTTCCCTTCCCTCATTCTCTCTTGTTCTTACTATTTCATCTCATTCTCCCTCATACTTCTGCATTTTCTAAGCATCTTACTAACGAATTCTCTCATCAGACTGGGGTGATCCAAGCCACTAACGAAGTGATTTAACATCAACATCTGAAGTCAACCCTCAACTGTCAGCTGCTTGCGATCCCAGCCCCTATGTGCACTGCAAATGACGCCCCACTTAATCCTACTTCACTCTACTCAAGTTCAAATCCGCGGTGGTAAGGCCACCGATCTTTCATCTCTCCTCTTCACCTCGTCTCCAGTTCCTCGCTCAAGATTTCTGCATCCTCGCCCCTGTTCTTCCAGCCCCTGCTGGCTAGCTCTATGGACATTTTCAAGTTTCAAGGGAGGTTTCAAGGGATTTTCAAGTACGGGGTCGGTGGGTTAGGTAGGGACCCAGACGCTTGTGTTACGACCTGCCGCAGTGGCATCTGTATTCCAACGGGTTCTTGAAGGCGTAACCGGTTAATGGGGGCCACAGATCAGACGTAGGACGGGTGCACTCAGACCCATCAGAACTGATTACAGCCCGACAGGGTATTCAGCACACGCCCGCCTGGTCCTGGGGGAGAGGGGGAGGTTCTGAAGGGCTTAATATGTGCGTTACACTCCAGGTGTGTGGAACATGACAGGTGTTGGCAGCAGAGGCAGGTATATACAGCTGTATGTAAGTCTATATATATTAACATGTACTTTTATGTGTGCTGAAGGTAGTACCAGAGATGGTGGCAGGAAGAGCAGCACTTTTCCTTTCTCCTGCCACCAGGCTGGGTGTCCCAGGAGTGTCCTGCCACCAGCCTGGGTGTCCCAGGAGTCTCCTGCCACCTGGCTGGGTGTCCCAGGAGTCCCCTGCCACCAGGCTAGGTGTCCCAGGAGTTTCCTGCCACCTGGCTGGGTGTCCCAGGAGTCCCCTGCCACCAGCCTGGGTGTCCCAGGAGTCTCCTGCCACCAGCCTGGGTGTCCCAGGAGTCTCCTGCCACCAGGCTGGGTGTCCCAGGAGTCTCCTGCCACCTGGCTGGGTGTCCCAGGAGTCCCCTGCCACCAGGCTAGGTGTCCCAGGAGTCTCCTGCCACCAGGCTGGGTGTCCCAGGAGTGTCCTGCCACCAGGCTGGGTGTCCTAGGAGTCTCCTGCCACCAGGCTGGGTGTACCAGGAGTGTCCTGCCACCAGGCTGGGTGTCCCAGGAGTGTCCTGCCACCAGGCTGGGTGTCCTAGGACCCAGGCCGTTATGTATAAAATCCGACCTCCTAACCTAACCAGAAGCGTACAAACTCAAGCAACCCACCTAACCCCTCGAATCCAATGCATAGTAAATAAAGATATTTGTGAGTTATAATTTTTATTAGTAAGCTGTATTTGTAACGCTGGTTACCACAACGTACAAAACGCGACCTATTAATCGAGAGGCCGGGGTGCCAACCCCCCCCCACAGAGCCGGGCACCCCACGAGCCTCATCATCCAGGGGTTTAGTCTCCGGCATAACATCTGCCCAAGACCTCATTAGGGTCAGATGTACCAGGGTGGTAATGTGGTTACCTTGAGGTTACCTTGAGGTGCTTCCGGGGCTTAGTGTCCCCGCGGCCCGGTCGTCGACCAGGCCTCCTGATGTGGGTCGAGGTCGTGACCTGGATGCTGGAGGTCACGACCTACGCCAACAGCAGTGTTGGTGTATAGTGTTACGTCATAAATTAGAGCATCAGGTGATATTAATTTGCATGTGGAATGGTGGAGGTAATTAGCAGAGTTGCTATAGGTGTTGATGACTGTGTTACTCGGAGCGTGGGGACGGTGGGGGGGGGGAGCATCACGTGATGTTGACCAGACAACACACTAGAAGTTGAAGGGACGACGACGTTTCGGTCCGTCCTGGACCATTTTCAAGTCGATTGAGAATCACATTGAGCATCACGTGATGCTCAACGTGTATATGAGTGCTGCACGTGGTCGCACGTGTTTCAAGGTGTTCACGTAGCACAAGGGCAGCCCGTCCTCCATGCTAGGCTCGTCCAGGCGGCGGCCCACCCCAAACATTCCACAATGTCACAAATGATAACTTCTCAAATATCTATTGATTTTTGGGTACAGTATATTATAATTTTGTAAATTGTTATACCTATCATAGCTTATCTTGAGATGATTTCGGGGCTTTTTAGTGTCCCCGCGGCCCGGTCCTCGACCAGGCCTCCACCCCCAGGAAGCAGCCCGTGACAGCTGACTAACACCCAGGTACCTATTTTACTGTTAGGTAACAGGGGCATAGGGTGAAAGAAACTCTGCCCATTGTTTCTCGCCGGCGCCTGGGGTCGAACCCAGGACCACAGGATCACAAGTCCAGCGTGCTGTCCGCTCGGCCGACCGGCTCCCATACGTGTTCAGTGTCTAGCCAATCAGGACGCTGCACCCTTCATGCTCTGGACTGTTGGAGGAAATTCCAAAGGAATCAAAACATAAAAAAGATCACCAGCCAATCGAAATATAAGGCGGATGAGCCACTGACTTTTCGTGAGCCAGCGACCAATTCTAAACTTCGCTTCAATAATATTTTTCGAGTCTCGACTTGCAGCTCGGCTGTTCTCGGAGACCTTTTATACCTTACTGACTTCTGAGGAAGTTGTTTGGCAATATGGTGCTGATGCAAGTGTCTGCTGGAGGAGGGAGAGAGAGAGAGAGAGAGAGAGAGAGAGAGAGAGAGAGAGAGAGAGAGAGAGAGAGAGAGAGAGACAGACAGACAGACAGACAGACAGACAGACAGACAGACAGACAGAGGGAGGAGAGAGAGAGAGAGAGAGAGAGAGAGAGAGAGAGAGAGAGAGAGAGAGAGAGAGAGAGAGAGAGAGAGAGAGAGAGAGAGAGAGAGAGAGAGAGAGAGAGAGAGAGAGCAGAGTCCCCGTTCATGAGCATGGCAGCATGGCAACACGGACCTATAGGGACACTTATGAAAGTACAAGTGATGGAAGTGTAAGTGTAAGTACTTTCTTGCAGAGTGCACGAAAGAGCAATTTCTCCTCCGTGTTCTCAAGTTGATGCCTTAACTGAGCAAGCTTGAGCACTCTCCTGAAGAACACACCGCCACCCTCCCGGTAACCTTACCTTGAGGTGCTTCCGGGGCTTAGCGTCCCCGCGGCCCGGTCGTCGACCAGGCCTCCGGTAAGTAAACCATTTTCTCTCCAATTCATTTATTTTCGTTCTCATATTTTTTTTCTCTCTGTGGTTGTGTTCCATAACTCAGTGAGTTCCTCCAGGCGCGGGACCCGCCTCCTCCAGCTCCTAAACACGTCTCCATGACCCTGGGACGGTAAGCAGGAACGGGGATCACCATAGCCCGTGCTGCTTGGAACTTTTTGTTCCCAGTAGCTAAATCTAAAACAACAACAACATCAGGTAAGCAGGAATATATACATACTTCATTCTTCACTCCCTCCTACAGTATTGTATGATAGCTTATATGTATGATAGGTTTGTATTTCTTATTAGTTCCCAGAGTCAGGTATTTCTGGCCACACACCTGTCCTCTCACCTGATACATCACTTTTTTTTTTTTTAAAACGGATTCGTACTTATACGATTTTTAAGAAAATTTTAAGATTTTCTTATAATGCTTCAAGACAGGTTCAACAGAGCAGTTACCGCTCTACATATGAACTGTTCTAAAATAAAGTCAAGGCAAAATTACTTAAATTTAAAAATAAAGCCAAAACCCAAACATAAAATAAAGATAACTATTAAAAACCATATAATACTAACGAACGAAGCATCAGAACAATTTACGGGCTATTCATGCCCGTGCCACCTCTTAGCCACCTCTTAGGTGGCTTAATCTTCATAAATCATCAGATAAAAAGACGTAATGACCCTATCAACTATTCAACCTGTCCTCAGGTTGGCTCGTTAAAGTGGCAGCTCACCCCTCCAGACGCAGTCGTCAATGTTAACTAATTATGTATTAATAATGGGTTTTGATCATAAATAAATTAACATTATTATTATATTAGTTAAATGTATAGTTAGTCGTAGGTTAGGTTAGGTGTTTAGGTCCTGCTGGGGAGTATTTGCAGTCGAATTCGTCAGCGAAGCATTGCTCGAAAATTTTTCGAACGTCATCAGTTATGAGTCGTGTTTAAAGCGATTTTCATTTATGAACAAGGGGATTTGGAGGCTGGATTGAAGAGCATTTGGCCTTTGTTGATGAGGACGGGCTGTTGTTGATGAGGACGAGATACAACTATTGCGTCAACAAGTGAGTCGAGGTGGGTGAATTATTCAACCGAGGCTTCATAATGCTGAACGACTCCAAGCGGGCATTGTGAAGCCTGTGGGTTATGGAAGCCAGTTTACTGAATGCGGTGTAAGTGTTGGGACCGTAAGGAAGGAAAGTTGCCGCTGTACCCCCTCAAATACGGTAAGACACACACACAATTGTCTATTAACTTGTGAAATGTCGTGAGGTTCTTTCCAAGTATCGAGAATTAAAACTCGAACATTGGAACATCTCAGATCGAAGTTCACATGAAAGTGTGCCTGTCTCTGTTATTCACAACATCTGTCTCAGTGCTTCCATGCTCTTCAACGCCCGTACATATATTTTACGGTTGACTAGTTATCAATTCTCACTTATTCCAATGTTTGTATGGTTCCTGTTATATTTTGTTTACCTGTTATTTACGGGAGGCAATCCTCGAGGCAAGTGTTTCGTTAGACCCGTTAGTGAGCGAAGTGGCCTAGCCAGACCAAGTTAGAGACCCGTTAGTGAGCGAAGTGGCCTAGCCAGACCAAGTTAGAGACCCGTTAGTGAGCGAAGTGGCCTAGCCAGACTAAGAGACCCGAGACCTCGGGTAAAAACTGTGCACAACTGCCGACCGTAATTTATTTTTTTGGGGGGAAGGTTCGTACCATTAAACTTGGCATGATAAATTAATAGCGACTCTCGGGGCATGAGCAAACCACTCAGATCGTCCCCACGCTGACACCACTACTTGATGAAGCAATAACGAGGCCCACCAGGCAATGGTCTGGCTAACGAGGGCACTATACACGTAAGAGACGACCACTCATTTATAACTTGTCTTTGGCGGCCGACTTCTGTGTATACATACCAGCAAGGTACAGGAGCCTCCTGTGGGTGTATGTGTCCCTCTGTCAGTCTCTGGGGTCTCTCAGAACTTGGGCCTCGTGTCTTAATGCCGTCTTTTAATGATTGATGAAGATTAAGCCACCCAAGAGGTGGCACGGGCATGAATAACCCGTAAGTGGTGGCCCCTTTTGAGCCATTACCAGTATCAAGAGCTGATACTGGAGATCTGTGGAGGTGCGACTGCACCCTGCGTGACGGGAGATGTCTCCTGTGATCTTTTAGTGATTGTAGAGCAGTTAAGATGTCAGCGTGTTATGGTGAGCTGTTGTGGTTAGCGGCAAGCTCCTCGACCTCCCGATTAACAATATCATAAATTAGGTGTGCATGATGCCGAGGCTAATTACTTAATTGGCTAATTAATATGCTTCAGTGTTAATGAGGTTACAGTGAAAGGTTTAAGAGCACCAGAGAGTACCTACAGCGGTGCATACAGCACGAAGGGCGCCCAGTACCTCCTGTGGTACAATTAATGTACATATGGGTACTCTAGCGCAGAGGTCTACATCCTCGACTCGTAACCTAGAACTTCAAGTGCAATTCTCAGGCGGAATAGAGACAATTAGGCTCGTTTTCTTTCACCTGGTGCCTCCATTCACCTATAAGTAAGTAGGTATCTAGGTGTTGAGCAACTGTTGTAGGTTGTGTCCTGAGAAAGGTGATGAATAGTTGACCTAGAGGCGCCTGGATAGCTGTTAGGGTCCTCCCTAACTATGGGAGTAGCCATGGAGGGGGGGGGGGGAGTCTTAGCCCCTAGAGGAGTAGCCATGGAGGGGGGGGAGTCTTAGCCCCTAGAGGAGTAGCCATGGAGGGGGGGGGAGTCTTAGCCCCTAGAGGAGTAGCCATGGAGGGGGGGGGGAGTCTTAGCCCCTAGAGGAGTAGCCATGGAGGGGGGGGGGGGAGACTTAGCCCCTAGGGGAGTAGCCATGGAGGGGGGGGGGAGTCTTAGCCCCTAGAGGAGTAGCCATGGAGGGGGGGGGAGTCTTAGCCCCTAGAGGAGTAGCCATGGAGGGGGGGGGGAGTCTTAGCCCCTAGAGGAGTAGCCATGGAGGGGGGGAGTCTTACCCCCTAGAGGAGTAGCCATGGAAGGGGGGGGGGAGTCTTAGCCCCTAGGGGAGTAGCCATGGGGGGGCGGGGAAGTCTTCCTAAATATTCTTTCTCTTTCACACTCACAACTTCGACTCGATGCCAGATAACTTTAGGAAATCTTCTTCAATTACTGGAAACTCTTCGCCAAAGTTCTCCATTACGGACTCTAACCTGAAGAAACTCGACTTTATTTAATTCTCTCACTTCATGGATATTATTCATTTTGAGTAATAAAAATAACAAATAAAATTTTAACACATAAATTCATGTGATGATCGTCTCTATTTCAGAATATTATCAGAAAGTTTTTAATTTGTATGATGATTTTATCATAAAATTAATTCGTAAACGACTCGACTGCTAATGATTTTTTTTATATTTGTTTTATATTGGCAATAACCTGCAAGTGAGACTGGCAGAGAATTAGACAGTCAGGAACTGTACATATGACGGGTAAGACTGTAAGTGAAGACTGTCAGGAACTGTCACAGGCGCAATTAGCACATTCCTAGACTCCCACAGTCACTGTACCTCCTCAGTGAATAATGTTCAAACTGTAAAAGTCAACTGGAGTGATTGGAGTGCTGAACTGGGCGGGGAACATATAACAGATGGAAAACAGAGAAACACAGTGAGAGATGTTGTATGGAAGGAGATAACGAATGTAGTCTCACAAGGCTGAATCCTGTCATAAACTGCTCTTCATATATACATATAATACATAATAACTTAAAACTCCACACCCCAGAAGGATTCGAACCCAGACAGCCAGGAGCACTATGCACCTTGGCGTACCTGGTTCTTTAACCACTAGACCACACACACACACACTAATATATATATATATATATATATATATATATATATATATATATATATACATATATATATATATATATATATATATATATATATGACAATGTCAGACCACGGAGGAAAAATGACTCCTTCTGAAGATGTATTAATATACGAAAGTACTTAAGGAAATTCCTGTTTCATTTTTCCTCCGTGGTCTGACATTGTCACATTTTTAATCACGTGTTTATTTTCGTGATATACACACACACATATATATATATATATATATATATATATATATATATATATATATATATATATATATATATATATATATATATATTTTCGTTATGGCTAACAATTTTGCCAAAGCAGGAGGCAAAAATCATTTTACATCCCACAGTCCAAAGTCGTTATGTAATTCTTAGTCAGTATATACATATACTTTGCTGTGTCAGCTTAGTATGTAGAATCCTGAAGATCTGAATCCTGCAGGAATACAAAATATATCATTCCTTCGTGTGGAGTGACACTCCTCCTGTACCAGGCGTGTAGTGTCACAGTCCTGTGGAACATCTTGACACCTGTACACCTGTTCTCAGTGTACAGACTTGAACAACTCGTGTCTACCCCACTTCCCCAGGGGTGGGGGAAGGGGACGTGTGGTTTTCCTCTATCATAAACTACATATATACTGTAAGTATATATTCAAAATTCCATGGTTTTCCTTACCAAATCATATGCAAATCTCTTTCAATAAATGTGTAACGAGACATTATAACTGTTTTCCTAAAAATGTCGTTATAAATGAAGTATTTTGTTTATACGCTTGTAAATACGGTATGAGTCTTAAAGCTGGTACAAGCTGAGACGCCTCGAACGCTTCTCGAGTGGATGCAAGAAGGCGGCCACAAGATAAGGTCGCCCTCCGCGAAACTCTGAAACATTTCATTCGAACTTTTTGGGAATCCATTAGATAGCACTTTGGCTGAGCGTCAGGGACCAGGGGGATATCACTAGAGACCAGGGGGATATCACCAGAGACCAGGGGGATATCACCAGAGACCAGGGGGATATCACCAGAGACCAGGGGGATATCACCAGAGACCAGGGGGGATATCACCAGAGACCAGGGGGATATCACCAGAGACCAGGGGGATATCACCAGAGACCAGGGGGATATCACCAGAGACCAGGGGGATATCACCAGAGACCAGGGGGATATCACCAGAGACCAGGGGGATATCACCAGAGACCAGGGGGATATCACCAGAGACCAGGGGGATATCACCAGAGACCAGGGGGATATCACCAGAGACCAGGGGGATATCACCAGAGACCAGGGGATATCATCAGAGACCAGGGGATATCACCAGGGGGCCAGGGGATATACGTGATATCTGAACTCGGAACTGCTAAAAATATTAAGAAGTGTCAAGAGGAAAGCTCTTGATGTCAAGTTAGTGTGATGAAGCAGGCGAGGGAAAGATCGCTAACCTGGTTTAAAATTTAGCCAATATGCAGCTCAACTCCATTTAGTTGCCTGCGTGTTAAAGGCACGGCCCAGGAGCCGGAGCTTGACCCCCCCCAACAACAAACACAACTAGGTGAGTGCTGACATCAAGGCAGGTTGTTGTTGTTGTTTCAGATTTAGCTACTCAGAACGAGGTGTCCATGTAGCACGGGCTATGGTGAGCCCGTAAGTCAAGGCAGGTGTGAGGTAAAGCTAATCAAGCAGCACCAAACAGGTGCTGCAACAAGTCTGGGCCTTGCACCAGGCCCGGTATGTGCAATGACTCGCAGCAGCGCAACTTGCAAAGCTCAATGAATTACCTTAAATTAATGTAATTAGCCATTGTAATTAAATGAATGCAATTAGCACTAACCTCTTTCACAGGAAAGAGGTTAGTGACTTTGCTGCGTGTGTGTGAGGGTGGAGTCATGTTGTCACATATCCACAATCCTCTACACTTGGCTTATGTTGCCTGATATAACAGTATGGGTGGCATACGAGCACAGTGTGGGCGGCGTGGGCGTCGTGGGTAGGGACCAGAAGCCCCCTGGAGAGCTTCGCAAGTCTCCAGCGGCACTCGGCCCAAAGACTAGCTACTCAGCATGTACTTGAGTAATTCTAGACTCAGCGGGGTGACGTTCCGGTAAGGTAGTAGCCGGAGCAACCTGTCCTCTCGCCACGTATTAATAAATGTTAACCATAATAAAATATACGTATTCTGTGTATCGACGTCGATAGCGAATTGTTTAGGTTCGAGCGATTCTTGAACGGACAAAACTGTTTTAATTTTTACGGAGTGTTAAGGGGAGAAAACTGGGTGATTGGCGTTTCGGTGATGCCTCCAGGCCCTTGAGGGGTGACCTCGGCCACA